TTCTGTGCAATGGCCTGCATCTTGTAAGACTCAATACGTGAGGAAATGTGTGATAATTTGCAAGTTTTTTTATTTGAGAACTATGTTATGTCATAACGTGCTGTGCAAACTCCATGCCATACTAATGATGCAAAGTGTCAGGTATTAATGTGAGTTTTGTTTAGATTATATGAAAGGAATAGAAGGCCATACTGTACTTTCAGAATGGATAAATGTGATTTGAATTATTTTGAATTGGGAGATTAATTGTAAAAGGATAGGTGCTAAGCTGTTCTCAGGTGTTCCAGAAGAGAGACAGAACTAGTGAAGACCTTACATCTGTTTCAGTTTCGAAGCTTTAATTTATTGTATTTTTGTGTGTTGGAATTTTGAGAAAATCTTTGTTAGTCAGAACGTTTGAACTTTTTAATCTCTGAGAACTGTTGTGAGGTGGAGGGCTTGCCTGTAGTTCCAGGCTGATGATTGAGTCGTAGTGTTTTAGAACTCTTAATTTGATTATGATCTTAGAAACTCTTTCTAGGAAATGCTGATAGTAATTAAATAGTCATGATACAGTTACATTCATAGAATCAATCTGTGCTGATACTTTTACAGCTTTTATGTTTCACACTAGCAGAACCCAATTTAAATAAATAGATGAATAGTTAAATAGACAATGTTAGCTGTGACCAATGGATTTTAGCCCCAATTTAGAAAGCTTATTGGGGTGCCTAATGAGCTCTGCTAGTGATACTTACATTTTAGTAATACTTAAATGTGATTTTGTTTCTCTTGAAATCTTCCTAGATTTATTACATACTCATGTAACACACAGGACATGTTTTCTGGCTTATTGAAAAGTACTTGTGGATTTTTGGTTTTTGTTGGTTGGTAATTTGAATGTCTTGGTACATGTGAAAAATCTTTTTTCCTAATGTTCCTGATTTTGAGGCTTTTAGACTTTACTAATTTTAGTGTTTGGTGACCTATACATTTACCATACGGTTATTTAGCCATATTTGTAAGATAATGGACAATTTTTCATTACCTCTGTTTCCCTGGCTTTACTGGAAGTATGCGAAACGTACTAATTTGAGAACTCCTTTGTGGGTATGGGTGTTGTTATCTAGCTGTGACAGAGAAGATGCACGCATTTATTGTAGAAGAGGTAATGGTTGCACTTTAGAATCATAGAATCATTAAGGTTGGAAAAGACCTCTAAGATCATCGAGTCCAACCATCAACACAACACCACCATGCCCATTAAACCATGTCCCTAAGTGCCTCATCTACATGTCTTAAATACTTCCAGGGATGGGGACTCAACCACCTCCCTGGGCAGCCTGTTCC